CGCACGGCCTGGGGATGCCGGGTGTGGGGGGGGGGTCTGCCCTCGCCCTTGCGAAACCCCCTCCCGACCAATGTGGGAGCCCTCGGGGCGGGGTGGGGGCGGTTTTGGGGGCTCATGGGCACAGCCCCCCCCCCCGGGAACGCTTTGAAATCCCAGCCGGCGGGCCCCCCGCCCCGAGGGGGCGGGCAGGAGGCAGCCCCGGGGGTATAAAGGCGGCGGAGGAGCGCAGGAGCCGCTGCTCGCGGCTCGGTGCTGCTGCTCGGGGACTCTGCGGGCACGGGAGGCACCAGGATGCGGGGGCTGGTGGCGCTGCTGGCGGCGCTGAGCTGCGCGGCCCCGGCGGGGCGGGCGGCGGCTCCCGGGGGTGCCCTCAGCTCCAACGCCATCAAGGGACCCCCCCCGGGCGGGGCGGCCGAGACCAGCGCCGCCCCCGCACCCCCTTTCGACGGCAGCAATAAGGCCCCGCCGGCGGCCACCCGACAGGTAGGAGAGAGCATGGATGGAGCGGCGGGACACCGGGGATGGAGAGGGGACAGACACCGGGAATAGAGGGACAGACACCGGGGGATGGAGAGGGGACACACACCGGGGATAGAGGGGGACACACACCGGGAATAGAAGGACACACACCGGGGAGCCGTCGGGGATGGAGTTGAGGGACACATTTGGGATGAAGGGTGGGTGGGACATCGGGGATGAGGACACCCACACCGCGAGATGGAGTAGGGGACAGAAGGGATGGAGGGGATGTCGGTGATGGAAGGGATAGAAGAGCGGGGACACAGTGCGGATGGATGGATGGATGGATGGATGGATGGATGGATGGATGGATGGATGGATGGATGGATGGATGGGCTGCCCAGGGGATGGAGGGACACTCCGGGCATGGAGGACAGGGGCGCACCGGGTGATGGGGACACAGACACACCGGATGGAGCGGGGACACCTCGGGGATGGAGGCAGGGAGTGTCACACGGGGGATGGATGGAGCGGTCGCGCTGGGCATTGGAGAGGGAGCGCACCAGGGATGGAGAGGGGGGACACTCGGGGATGTCAGCGTCGGCCCCGCTGATCCCGCCGCCTCCTCTGTGTCCCCCAGCCTTTCCCGTGCGCCGAGGACGAGGACTGCGGCCCCGAGGAGTTCTGCGGGGGGGCGGCCCGCGGCGGGGGGGCCCCGCTGTGCCTCGGCTGCCGGCGGCGCCGCAAGCGCTGCCTGCGCGATGCCATGTGCTGCCCCGGCATGGTCTGCAGCAACGGTGAGGGCAGGGGACAGCTGGGGCTGGGGGCCGCGGGACGGGCCGGGGTCCCACGCGTGGCTGACAGCCGCCCCGCTGCCCCCGCAGGTCTCTGCACGCCCCTGGAGCCGCCCCACGGAGCGGCCGAGCTGGACGAGACGGGCACGGAGGCGCTGTCCCGACGGACGCCCGCTCCCGCCTGGCTCCCCACTGCCAAAGGT